TCAGTCCATGCTTGGACAAGGGACTTAGCAAGTAGGCACGAGAAGCAGAGCTAGAAGTACCTAAAAGTCCCGAAAAGAGATCCCAAACCCTAAGCCCTAAACCCTAAACCCTAGACCCTGAACCCTAAACCCTGAACCCTGAACCCTAAGCCCTCATTTGGGTCATCCTAGTTTAGAGCCACCACACCCTGAGCCTAAACTACAACCAGTCGTAGTAGCTACTTTCTAAGTCCCCGGGAGTTCAGGCATTGGCCCCAACACCGCAAAAGCCTTGAGTTATGTTTAGGGCTTAGGGATGAGGATTAAGGATTTAGGGTCAGGATTAAAGGCTTAGGGCTTCGGGTGTGGGCGATGTTCAGGGCTTGTGGGTTTGGGGCCCGAAGGGGTTCAACGCCCCCCCAAAGTCGCCCCTATCACCCAAAATCCGAGCGCTACGCCCTAAACCCCAGAACCCTACTCAAAACCCTAAACAGGTTAAGGGCAGATGGTTGAGAGTTGCCCCAAGCCAAAAAGCTTAGGGCGCGAGATCTCGATGCTTCTCACTGCGCGGCCAGGAAGAAGCAGTGGGACGATCATAAGACCACCATGGCCTGGGACCTCGGAAAGAGGAGTTGCCATGCAAAACTCCTGACCCCTGATCCCTGAACTCAATGCAACCCCCAAACCTGAACCTTACAGGCCTTAATGCTCAACTTACTGCCCTGAAGGCCTGAGTCTTACAAACCCTCAATCCCAAAAAGGGCCTAAAAGACTGGACTTAAAGCCCTCATAAAGCCCCATACCCCAAACACACAAGGGGGTGGCAAGCAAAAACTGTTCGGGGTTTTAGGGCCCAAATTTAGCACCCTAAACCCTAAACCCCTGAACCCTAAACCCTAAGAGCGCTAAACCCTTAACCCTAAACAAGCACTAGACCTTACCTCAGGATTGGGTCCCCTTTTCCACCGCAAGGAAACCTTCCTTGGGGTTTGGGGCTTGTCGTTTAGGGTGTAGATCCGAATTCCCTTTCGTCAAGAAGTTCTCGGAAGGTCGAGGGACCCAGTAAGCAGTTATTAAGAAGGATTCGTTGTGTAGGGTTTAGGGTTCGGACTAGAGTGTAGCAGTTGTTAAGAAAGGCTGTTAAGAAGGAGAGCCTCAACTTCGGGTGGGTTTTTCTAACTCTGTCTTTATACCTACTTACCGATTCCGGATTCTCCAAGTGCACCTTACCAAGCCCTACACGCGAAATGCTCTAAGAACCCTAAACCCTAAGCCTTCAATAAGCAATGGACCCCGCTACTTAACAACTACCCTGAACCCGAAAACCTAACTCCTAAACCCTAAACCCTGAACCTTAAACCCTGTACAGTCTACCGAGCCATCCTTAGCAGAGGGGTGTTGGGCTCTGAGGGTTCTTGGTTCCCCCCTACCCTACACCCCTTCATTCAGAACTCATCCCTAGGCTTTGGGTTTAGGGCTAGGGTTTAGGGTTGAGGGTTCCGGGTTTAGGGTTCAGGGTTTGGGGTCTTGGGCAACCTAGGGTTTAGGGTTTGGGGTTTAGGGTTTAGGGTTACTGATAACTGTACTTATCGCCATGTTAGGGCACTTAAGGGGGTCATGAGTGGGTTGTAAGTTATAAGTACAGCTATCATTACCATGGATCTCCAAGTAGGCCGTAAGCCCTGTCGTAAGCCCTGGCTCGAGGTCATGATCCGCGACATTCTCATGTACATGGATAGGAACTTCGTCACGCAGTACAAGAAGGCTCGGGTTTAGGGTTTTAGGGTTTTAGGGATTCAGGGATCTAGGGATGCAGGGATTTGGGGATTTAGGGTTCAGGCTTGAGGGTTTAGGTCCTAGGTTTGTAGTCAGACAATTCTAGGGTTTCTCTTTATCTGTCGGCCTAGCTTAAATACAAGCATGGATGCCCTCATCTCCGCAAACAAAGAAAGCCAGCGCCGATCCCTATGTGTATGGTATTAACCCTAAACCCTAAACCCTAAACCCTAAACCCTAAACCCTAAACCCTAAACCCTAAACCCTAAACCCTAAACCCTAAACCCTAAACCCTAAACCCTAAACCCTAAACCCTAAAAACCCTAAACCCTAAACCCTAAACCCTAAACCCTAAACCCTAACCCCTAACCCTAAACCCTAAACCCTAAACCCTAAACCCTAAACCCTAAACCCTAAACCCTAAACCCTAAACCCTAAACCCTCAACCCCATTTGCTTGAACCCGAAAGCTGCTTCACAGGTGTTTAGGGCATAGGGTTTCGGGTTTAGGGTCTAGGCCTTTCCCCAAAACCCTAGACCCCAAAACCCGACGACCTAAACCGTAAACTTTATGAAGCAGGGTATGTATTGCTGTTCTTGGTGAGTGTATATAAGGTTCCTTTTTGATATTGGTGAGTGTACATATTTACTTCATATAGGAACCGCTTTAGGCCCGCGTGCACGTGGTATTCGCACATGCCCTAGGGGAGTTTCGTTAAGAGTGACTGACGGCTCACACAACATGCATGGGTTCAGGCCTTATGAGGGAAAGCAAGGGCTATTTTTGGGAACATGTCTACGAGTATGCGCCAACTCATAGAGTGGAGGGCTGGGGGGGGGTTCAATTCTGCGCCTAAACCCTAAACCCTAAACCCTAAACCCTAAACCCTAAACCCTAAACCCTAAACCCTAAACCCTAAACCCTAAACCCTAAACCCTAAACCCTAAACCCTAAACCCTAAACCCTAAACCCTAACCTAAACCCTAAACCCTAAACCCTAAACCCTAAACCCTAAACCCTAAACCCTAAACCCTAAACCCTAAACCCTAAACCCTGAACCCTAAACCCTAAACCCTAAACCCTAAACCCTAAACCCTAAACCCTAAACCCTAGACCCTAGACCCTAAGCCCCAAACCCTACACCCTACACCCTAAACCCAAAACCCAAAACCCAAAACCCTAAACCCTCAACCCTAAACCCTAAACCCTAAAAACCCGAAATCCTCAACCGCAACTTGCATGCTTGGCAGGTTCCGGTGTATGAGATGGGCCTCATCATCTTCCGTGAGAAGGCAGGTAGCCCCTGGCCGTATGGCCCCAAATAACATCCAAGCCCTACGAACCCTGAACTCCTGCATAAAAAAAGGCCTAAACGCGCTGAACGCCTAAACTCAAAACTTAAAAACCCTAAATCTCGTCAACATAAGACCTGCGGCCCTAAACCACTTTCTGGACCCACGCTTGGTCGCCAGCGAGATCTCCGTTCGGGGGCGCGCTGGGCTGTGAGTCTTGGCGCGGAGGAGTGGACCGATGTAAGGCCTTCGACCGTGCCCCGGCAGCTGCGCTGTGCTGGGGCCGATGAAAGCTGCCAGCAAATCGTTGGGCCACAAATCGGAAACCCAAAACCTGTGAACCCTCCAAACCGAAAGCTCTAAAGCTCAAAGAGGAGGCAACGGACGAGAACGGACTTGGATCGCCACTGTCCTCATCAGCGCTGGCACCCCCCACTGGCGCCTCGTAGCTTGGTTGAAGGGGTTCCCATCAATGCCGACGACTCGCAGAGAAAGACGCAGGATCGCTCGTTTGCCGTAGCAGCTCCATGCCCCTCGTCCCTGGCGTTCTAAACCCTAAGCTCTACAGGCACGAAAGGCCCGAAAGTGCTAAACCCTCGACCCTAGACCCTAGACCCTAGACCCTAGACCCTAAAGCCTAAAGCCTAAAGCCTAAAGCCTAAAGCCTAAAGCCTAAAGCCTAAAGCCTAAAGCCTAAAGCCTAAAGCCTAAAGCCTAAAGCCTAAAGCCTAAAGCCTAAAGCCTAAAGCCTAAAGCCTAAAGCCTAAAGCCTAAAGCCTCAAGCCTAAAGCCTAAAGCCTAAAGCCTAAAGCCTAAAGCCTAAAGCCTAAAGCCTAAAGCCTAAAGCCTAAAGCCTAAAGCCTAAAGCCTAAAGCCTAAAACTCAACGCCTAAAGCCTAAAACTCAAAGCCTAAAGCCTAAAACTCAAAGCCTAAAGCCTAAAGCCTAAAGCCTAAAGCCTAAAGCCGAAAGCCTAAAGCCTAAAGCCTAAAGCCTAAAGCCTAATGCCTAAAGCCTAAACCCCAAACCCTAAAGCCTAAACCCTAACAACCCTCCCCAGAAACCCTGGACCTTCAGCCCTGCGCTTTGTTAGCAGCAGCTGGCCCCGATGTCTCCAGCCCATAGCCCCTTTGCAACCCAAGACCCTAGCACCCTAAACCCTGAAAACATTTAGGGTTTCGCAAACCCCCTCAACCCTCAACCTCCAAGCAAAACGTGCTCGATGTCTTCTCCCTAAGTCCCTCAACCCCAAACCCTCTGCTCGATAGGCCTTCCTAAACCCTAAACCCTGAACCCTAAACCCTAACCCTAAATCCTAAACCCTGAACCCTAAACCCTGAACCCTAACCCTAAACCCTAAACCCTGGGTGGTAGGGTAGGTGGGGTTGCTTGGAGTGTGTAGTGTAGGTAGTGTTTAGGGTATGGTTTTGTGTTTAGGGTTTCAGGGCAAACCTTGCAGACCACGTCTGACATTTAAGGGTTTATGGTTTGAGGCTTAGGGCTTCAGGGTTTTAAGAGGGTTGAAAGGTTAAAGATATGCACAGCATAACCTCCGCATCTGAAAAGGTTGTCCTGCACCCTACTCCGCAGAACTCCTTTCAAGCCTAAACTCGACCTATATGTGTATACAGACTACAAAGACGAGTAGGTTCTCGAAGGTCAAGGCATCTTATCCTAAACCTTCACAACCCCCAAACCTTTCACCCTACACCCCAACCCCGAACCTTATACCCCAAACCCAAACCCTAAACCCAAACCCTAAACTCGAAATCCTAAACCCTAAACCCTAAACCCTAACCCCTAAACCCTAAACCCTAAACCCTAAACCCTCAACCCTAAACCCTAAACCCTAAACCCTATGAACCCCTGAGTCCCAAGCCCCAAGCCCCAAGCCCCAAGCCTCGGCCCCAGGTGTCCGGGCACTCGCGCGTGAAGAACCACCTCCTGACGCTGATGTTGGACAACATCAACGCCGAGCGCAGAGGGGAGCAGGCTCTCCTAGCATATAAATATGAATAAACAAATAAATAAAACAAATAAAGAAACAAATATATATATATATATATATATGTACATATATACACCGATATAAATAATAAGTATAAATCTGAATATGAATATGAATAGGAGTATGGATATGAATATGAATATGAATACATACATGAATACAAAAATGAATACATAAATAAGAATATACATATAAATAAATTAAACGAATATAAAAAAAATATGGTACCCCCCTGGTACCCCCCCCCCCCCCCCCCCCACTCCAAAACCCCGCGTCTCAGGTCACCAATTCGCAGATTCGCAGATTTGTAGCCCCAATCTGCAAATCTGCGAAACCTCGAGAAACGCGGATTCGCAGATTCGCAGATTTGTAGCCCCTAACCAATCTGCAAATCTGCGAATCCACGAAACCTCGAGAGGGTTTAGGGTTTTCGGGTTTTAGGGTTTAGGGTTTTGCTTCGGGCCTAGGGATGCGTTTTGGAGTTGGGAACCCTAAACCCTAAACCCTAAACCCTAAACCGTAAACCCTAAACCCTAAACCCTAAACCCTAAACCCTAAACCCTAAACCCTAAACCCTAAATCCTAAACCCTAAACCCTAAACCCTAAACCCTAAACCCTAAACCCTAAACCCTAAACCCTACAGGATTGTTGGCTCCCCGGATATTGCCAGGTGGATCGCATCCTCCTGAAGCACACCGTGAACATGCTGGTGGAGCTGGGCGTGCAGGGCAAGAATGCGGGGGAGCCCAGGGCCTGTCAGGGTTTAGGGTTTGGGGTTTGGGGTTTAGGGTTTAGGGTCTAGGGTTTAGGGTTTAGGGTTTAGGGTTAGGGTTTGGGTTTAGGGTCTTGAGGCTCTGGTTCAACGCATTAGGGTTATGAGGATACTGGGGTATAAGGGTAGGATACTGTGGTATAAGGGTAATTAGGGTATGAGGGTATGAGGGTATGAGGGTATGAGGGGAGGGGTACGAAGATTCCGCTCACAAAGCTTGACGCCCGAACTTCTGAACCTCGAACCCTACCCCCCCCCCCCTACCCGCAAATAAACGCAGCACAGGAGGTGTTCCAGGAAGTGGTTTCGTTTAGGTTTTAGGGATAGTTGGGCTTTGGGTTTAGGGCTTGAGGTTGTAGGGTTTGGACTTAAGGTTTAGGGACTCAGCGGATCTCAGCTGTACATTGTCGGGGCTGATGCCAAGATTCTGCACGCGGATATGCATACACGTTCACTTTTGCTTGTGGCACTTCTGAAAAGTCAACCCTAAACCCTAAGCTCTAAACCCTAAGCCCTAAACCCTAAACCCTAAGCCCTAAACCCTAAACCCTAAGCCCTAAACCCTCAACCCTAAACCCACGTGGCACCGACAGCGGCGGCGTTTTCGACCACACGCCTCGGGTTTAGGGTTTAGGGTTTTTTAGGGCGAAGTTGCCACGGGCTTGCAGGGAGTGGTGATCATCGCAAACGAAGCCGTGGGCGAGCACCTGAAAGGTTGCCCCTTGTACCAGCGACACCCAGAGCATGGATGAAGAACGGCGGATTGTCGCTTCTGAGTGGAACTTGTAAAGATCCGCAGCGGTGGAGATTTTGTTTGGGTTTTCGGGTTGGGGCGAAGCCCTGTGTTTGGCCCAAGGCTTCAGGAGTTTAGGGTTTAAGGTTTGGGGCCTGAGCATGCATAGCTTCCCTAAACCCAGTAAGGAGCTTAAAGCCACCCAGAGACCCGCCCAACCCCTTTAAGCCCCAATATCCCTAAGCCTAAAGCCCTTACCCTTAAGGCCCTAAACCCAGCTAAAACCCTCAACTTAAAGCCCTTACCCTAAAGCCCTGAACCCAGTAAAACCCCTGAACCCTAAACCCTCAACCCTAAACCCTAAACCCTAAGCCCTAAAACCCCCAAGAGTCCCTAAACAGGTGTACCGCGAGTGCTTCGAGGATCAGTTTTTAGACCACACGCGGAAGTTCTACCAGGACGGCCTTGGGGGCTCGGAGGCTCCAGGGCTCGGGCAGCTTAGGGTTTAGGGTTTAGGGTTTAGGGTTTAGGGCTTGTCGATTTAACATGCGTAGTGTATGGAAAGAGAGACGGACGTCCGAAACCTTCAGCGCAAAAGAGTTCCGTCATGTACATGGAGCTCTACTTTCTCCCACCCCAGGATGCCACCCAAAGCATCTGTAGGACGCTTAAGTTCTTAAGCGTCGCTAATATTGATAATAGTGTCTGGTAAAGAGATTACAGAAAATGTGAGAAACAAAAGACCATGCACTTACACAGTAAATGGCTGTAATTATGTTCGATAATTACCATTTACTTCTAGCGGGCAGCTTAGGGTTTAGGGTTTAGGGTTTAGGGTTTAGGGTTTAGGGTTTAAGAGTTAGGGTTTAGGGTTTAGAGTTTTAGCCCTACTTGGAGGTTCATGGTACTTATAACCCAGATATAACAGGACTTAGCACGCACTTTGCCCTAACATGGGTAGAATCGGGTTGCAAGTACAGTGATAATTGGGTGAAAGAGTACCATGAACCTCCACGTGAGGGGTGTAAGGGAGGGGTCAAGACTCCATTTTCTTTCAGGGTTCCGGGGGTTTAGGCCTTAAGGCTTAGGGTCTCGTAGCCCTAAACCCCACCCTACACCCTAAACCCTAAACCCTAAACCCTAAACCCTCAGCCCTACACCCTAAACCCTAAACCCTTTAAACGGTTATCAAAGCGCTTACGCGAGGAAGATGGGGCCTGGGAGCTTCCTCCCCTTGCTTCCAACGTCCTCGGATTGTTTTAAACCTCAACTCCCTATGCTCGACAGCGGGAAATGTCAATGACTGCCTAAGCCCTAGACCCCAAATAAAACCCTGAACCCCAAACCCCAAACCCCAAACCCGAAACCCGAAACCCTAAACCCTAAACCCTAAACCCTAAACCCTAAAACCTAAACCCCAAACCCCAAACCCCAAACCCGAAACCCTAAGCCCTAAACCCTAACCCCTAAACCCTAAACCCTAAACCCTACGGCCTGAGCTTGAAATCCCCCGAAACCGCAGGACGAGTCGAAGCAGTACATTTCACAGAATCCCTGCTCCGACTACCTGAAGAAGGCATGGGGTTTAGGGTTTTGGGTTTAGGGTTTAGGGTTTAGGGTTGAGGGTTTAGGGTTTAGGGTTTAGGGTTTAGGGTTTTGTTGTTCACCTTGTTGGGTTCAGGGTTTACTTTTGGGATTTTTTGTGGGGTGGAGGTTGAAGGGCTTCGGGGTTTAGGGGTTTGGGCGTTAGCCTTAAATGCATAGGTTTTATGGTTTTGAGGGTCGATTTTCGCAGTCCGACGGTTTTAGGGTTTAGGGCTTAGGGGCGTTCGGGGTTCAGGGTTTACTTGATGTTATGTGGCTGGTTGTAACAGGTTCAATCCGCAGAAGCGCTTGCAAACCCTTACAAGCCCCTGCAAATCCTGCCGAATCCTTGCCTAAGAATCCCTGTATGCCCCAAAGCACTGGAGTCCCAAACCTAACACCCTGAATCCCTAAGCCTGAATCCCTAAACCTTATGTTTAGGGGGTTTAGCGTTTGGGGTTTAGCGTTTGGGGTGTAGGGTTTAGGGTAGAACCCAAGCTTGTTAGTAAGCTCCGGCAGGCAGAGAAACGAATTCGCGAGGAGAAGACCCGGGCTCGGACCTCGAAAATTGGGTTTTCAGTCGTTTCGGGAGTGAAAGGTTGGGTTTTGGGTTTAGAGATGAGGGTTTAGGGTTTTCTGGCTGAGGCTTTGTAGGTTTCTAGGGTTTATGGCGTAGGAATTTAGGTTTCTAGAGATTGTGTGTAAGTTTTTTTTTCTACAGGGGGTTCCGGTTTGTGGGAGGTTTAGAAAGGCTTGTGCCAGCTGTTCCGGGTTTATCAAAGGTGTCTGGTTTCAGTAGGGGCTTGGGGTGTTTCAGGGTCTAGGGTCTAAGGTGGGCTTTCGGGTTTTAGGGTTTTTGGGGGTTCTGGGCTTAGGGATCAATAGCGATGTCAAGGAGTTTTGGGAGTTTTGGGGTTGACAAGGGTTTCCAGGGGTTTGGGGTCAGGGATTTGCTTAGGGTTTAGTTATTGGGGACCCTCGTATACTACCCCAGAAAGCCGTAAAGCCCTTTTCGCAAACCCTAAGCCCTATACCTTCAACCTTAAACCCTTACCGGCCCTTATATACCTCGGCAGAGAACCATAAGCCCTACGACCCTAAACCCTACACCCGACACCCTAAACCCCTAAACCCTAACCCCGAAACCCTAAACCTAAGCCCTACCCGTACCCCCTCCCCCACCCAGGTAGAGAACTACCTCCATGAGTCCACCATGGAGAAAATTCAGGCGACCAACTGGGCCGTCCTTCAGTTCGTGGTCTTAAGTGTTAGGGTTTGTTAGGGTTTAGGGTTTATTAGGAGGGTTTCGAGGGGTCTGAGGCGTTTTAGGCTTAGGTTTTTTCCTAGACGGTGTCTCTTTTTTCGGGGGATCGGGCGAAGCCATTTCTACAGTTTGTCACGCCTTGTCTTTTTTCCGGCTTTGTTTGAAGGGATTTAGGGCCTTTAAGGCTGCGAAGGATTCCAGGTTTGTTGGGCATGGAGTTTGGGTTTTGCTAAGCAGGGTCTGGAGGTTACAAGTTGTGTTAGACATTCCAAACCCTAAGCCCCAAGCCCTTAGCCCTAAGCCCTAAGCCCTAAGCCCTAAACCCTAAACCCTAAACCTTAAACCCTAAACCCTAAGCCCTGAACCCTAATAGGCTTTGATGGTTTCTTTTTTTTAAAGCTGGTCCTGGTGTTATGGGGTCCTTAAGGGAGGGGGGGGTTCATGGGGTAGGTACCTAGGGAGCCTTGAGGAAGCAGCTTCGGGGAGCCTTAGGGAGTAGGGTTTAGGGTTTAGGGTCTAGGGTTTAGGGTTTAGGGTTGCGTTGTGGAACCTTGGGTTGCATACCCCCCTCGAACCCCCCTCCATCAAGGACCCTATAATGGTGGGCTTCGGGTGCTAAAGGTCTTGCCCCGGTTTGCTGGGGTCTAGGGTTTAGGGTTTAGGGTTTAGGGTTTAGGGAGAGAGAGCACCTGGGGCCTGTTATTGCCAGTCTCTGAAGAGGGCACATCTTTGTGGGCTGCTTGCTTAGCTTGCTGAGAAGGATTTCAAGGGGGTTTTCGGGTTCGAAATTTAGGTTTCGTGTGTGAGGGCCGGATGGGGGTTAGGGGTTCACGGGTTTTAGGATCCTGGGGGCGGGGAAAGCCCTGCATGTGCACGCAAGACGCCCTAGATCTTAAATCCCTAAACCTGTAGCCTACCCAGACTCAAAACTCAAAAAGCCCGAAAGCGTAACCCAATCTTTCCGGGCCCCTCTCTGCCCCACCACACGCCCAAAGGCCAAAGCTGCACCCTAAACCCTAAACTCTGAACCCTAAACCCTAAACCCTAAACCCCAAACCCTAAACCCTAAACGCTAAACTCTGAACCCTAAACCCTAAACGCTAAACCCTAAACCCTAAACCCTAAACCCTAAACCCTAAACCCTAAACCTCCTCCAGGAGCTGTGCGATGAGGAGTGGATCTTAGTGCACTACAAGACCCTCATCCACATGGAGAATTCAGGGCGCCCTGGCAGAGGTTTAGGGTTTAGGGTTTAGGGTTGTGAGGGTTTAGGGTTTAGGGTTTAGGGTTTAGGGCTTAGGGTTTAGGGTGTATGTTTTCAGGGGCATACGGCATGAACCTCATCAACCTTGGGATTGATGCTTGCGGGCATGGTTGAACACAGGCTCTAAACATCTCAAAGCCCTGAACCTTCAAGCCCTACGTCGAAAGACCAGCACCTTATACACCAGCAAGCCCAAACCCTCAGTACCCCCTCCCCTCCCCGCCCCTTTTGAGACTTCAGGGTTTAGGGCTTCAGACCCTATAAACCCCAGAAACCCTAAACCCCTAAACGAACCGCATGAGCCCTGAACCCCAACCCCCAAGCCCTGAGCCGACCGTGAGCCCGACACCCCCAAGCCCAAGAACCCGAAATCCCCCAACCCCCCAGAGCCATCAACCCTGAACCCTCAACATAAACCCCCCAAAGCCCTCAAACCAAAAAAGGAGCTCCCTCTCCTGGGCCCTCGGACGCTTCAAGTTGTAATGTTGAGGGTGTCCGCATCAGGGCTCCTTAATGTTGGACCCTAAACCCTAAACCCTAAACCCTAAACCCTAAACCCTAAACCCCTCTCCTCCCTCCCTGAAATGTCGAAGCTGATTTGGGGTCCTCTCTAGATGCTGCCCCCTGATTTTCCAATATGTTTAAGGTTTAGGGTTCAGGGTTTAGGGTTGAGGATTTAGCAAGGGTTAAATCGCGCGGCATGTGGGACTTCACCCTGGACCCTCAAGCAGTCACGCGATCCTGAAAAGCTCAGCGAACTTGACCCCTACATCAAGACCCCAAAGCCCTGAAGCCCTTGAGCCCCTAAAACAAAATCCCGAACCCCAAGCCTTCAAAGCCCCGAAAACCCTAAAAGCCCCAAGCCTAACTCCCAAAGCCCCTAGAAACCCTAACTTCCCTAAAGACTCTAAAGCCCTAAATCCTAAACCCGAGACCTTAACCCTAAACCCTAAACCCTAAACCCTAAACCCTAAACCCTAAACCCTAAACCCTAAACCCTAAACCCTAAACCCTAAACCCTAAACCCTAAACCCTAAACCCTAAACCCTAAACCCTAAACCCTAAACCCTAAACCCTAAACCCTAAACCCTAAACCCTAAACCCTAAACCCTAACCCTAACCCTAAACCCTAAACCCTAAACCCTAAACCCTAAACCCTAAACCCTAAACCCTAAACCCTAAACCCTAAACCCTAAACCCTAAACCCTAAACCCTAAACCCTAAACCCTAAACCCCTAAACCCCTAAACACCTAAACCCTAAACCCTAAACCCTAAACCCTAAACCCTAAACCCTAAACCCTAAACCCTAAACCCTAAACCCTAAACCCTAAACCCTAAACCCTAAACCTAACCCTAAACCCTAAACCCTAAACCCTAAACCCTAAACCCTAAACCCTAAACCCTAAACCCTAAACCCTAAACCCTAAACCCTAAACCCTAAACCCTAAACCCCAAACCCTAAACCCTAAACCTAAAAACCCTAAACCCTAAACCCTAGACCCTAACCCTAAACCCTAAACCCTCAACCCTGAACCCTAAACCCTAAAAGTCCCTAAAGTCCCGAAAGCCTGAAAGCCCCAAAGCCCTCTGGAGCCGACGGCCGGCGCCCTACCCCTGTGGGCGAGCAGCCCGCCCATCGTCGGCGTCTTCTGCCCGGTGCCCGGCTGTTGTCGTGGAGATGCCACCAGGGGCATCTGGATGGCGCTTCGGAAACCCTAAACCCTAAACCCTAAACCCTGAACCCTAAACCCTAAACCCTAAACCCTAAACCCTAAATCTCACGAGGCCATGCGTCCCCACCTGAATGACCAGTGCTCGGGCACCTTGGCAGGCGCTCTCCCGCCCGACGACCTGCAAAAGCCCACCAACTTGACCTCGGCAAGGGCTGTGTGCTCCTCGTGAACCCTAAACCCGAGCCCTAAACCCTGAACCCTAAACCCTAAACCCTAAACCCTACACCCTAAACCCTAAACCCTACACCCTAAACCCTAAACCCCTTAAAGTCCCCTGAAGTCCCCTGAAGTGCCCTACCGTGCCCACAGGTGCGCGTGGATGTTTGAGCACGACAAGGTGCCCGACCTGGAGCGGCACGGGGGCTCAGGTAGGGTTTAGGGTTTAGGGCTTAGGGCTTAGGGTTTAGGGTTTAGGGTTTAGGGTTTAGGGTTTAGGGTTAGGTTTTAGGGTTTAGGGTCTAGGGTTTAGGGTTTCGGGTTCAAAAGATATCTACTCAAAGCGACCTTGACCCCTAGCCTTTGAATAAACCCTGACAACCCTACTAAGCCCTAAGCCCTAAGCCCTAAGCCCAAAACCCTAAACCCTAAGCCCTAAGCCCTAAACCCTAAACCCTAAACCCTAAACCCTAAACCCTAAACCCTAAACCCTAAACCCTAAACCCTAAACCCTCCGGGGGGTTCCAGGGGGCGGTTTTGGGGCTCTTCGAGCCGAGCCACAGTGATCGGCGCGTGTGTGTGCGTAGGCTTGCGGGTCTCTGGGTTTGGGGTTTGGGGTTTAGGGTTTAGGGTTTAGGGTTTAGGGTTCCAGGTTTAGGGTTCCGGGTCGTAGGGTTTAGGGTCGAAGCGTTTAGGGCGTAGTACAGGGCTTAGGGTTTAGAGCGTTTGCCATGATGTCCGGGACCCTAGGGGCTTTCGTTACGGCGTCAGAGCTTTGGGCTTTCGGGTGTAGGTTGTAGGGTGCAAGTCTACTGACCCCAAGGCAACCCTAAATCCCAAACCCTGTCCTACTTTTTGCTGGGCCAAGGATGTATGCGCTCTTCAGCCGTGTGCCACTGACACTGAAAGAAGTGCAGAAGGCAGGATCTAGGGTTCAGGGCGGGGGGGGGTGTTCTAACCTTCAAACCCTGGGCAGACCCCCAATCCTAGGATGCGAGGAGGACCCCTAAGAAGGGACCCTGCAGCCTACTACCATATACACAAACATACATATATACATATATATATATATACATATACACATACATATATAAATATATACATACATATATATATATATATATGTATATATATATATATACACATCCCTAAATGCTAAACCCTAAACCCTAAACCATACATCGTGTACCAGAGCTATTGCGCAGGTAGCCTCAAAAGAGTCCTTCAACAAACATGAGGCCCTAAACCCTAAACCCTAAACCCTAAACCCTAAACCCTGAACCCTAAACCCTAAACCCTAAACCCTAAACCCTAAACCCTAAACCCTAAACCCTAAACCCTAAACCCTAAACCCTAAACCCTTATCAGGCTCCCTCCGTCTTCGTTGCACAGTGAGCCCGTCAGGTGATGATGGACTGCATGTGCGAAGCAGGACTCCAAGGTTTAGGGTTTAGGGTTTAGGGTTTAGGGTTTAGGGTTTAGGGTTTAGGGTTTAGGGTTTAGGGTTTAGGGTTTAGGGGTGTACTTGCAGGTTCATAGGTAGGTAGCACCGGATTCCGGATTCTCAGCTGATGAACTCTTCTTGGAGCGTGGGTTTTTGTTTCCCCCGAAGTCTTAAACTGCAGTGCAATTGCCACCTAAACCCTAAACCCTAAACCCCAAACCCTAAACCCTAAACCCTAAACCCTAAACCCTAAACCCTAAACCCTAAACCCTAAACCCTAAACTCTAAACCCTAAACCCTAAACCCTAAACCCTAAACCCTAAAACCTAAACCCTAAACCCTAAACCCTAAACCCTAAACCCAGCTTCACCTCCACGTGCAGGACGTGACGTCTTGAACGACCCAGAGAAGGCGGCGGCCCAGGGTTTGGTGTTAGGGTTTAGGGTTTAGGGTTTTGCGGCTGGGAGTTTGAGGGCTTAGGGGCATTAACACTTGAGGGTTTTAGAGGGCTTCTGGGCTTGTTGAGGGTGGTGAGTTTGAGGGCTTAGGGCACCACGTAGGGCTCAGGGTCGGAACCCTAGATGCCCCAAAAACGCAGCCCTCAAGCGTAGTTCGGGGTTTAGGGTTCAGGGGTTTAGGGGTTTAGAGTTTCGGGTTCAGGGTTCAGGGGTTTATTTAGGGTTTAGGGGTTTAGGGCTTTAGGGGTGTAGGGGTCTAGGGGTTCAGGGGTTAGGGTTCAGGGTTTAGGGTTCAGGGTTTAGGGTTTATGGTTTAGGGCTTGCAGGGCCCGAGCCTTAAGCTCTATGGCCCCGACTTAAGGGTCAAGGGTTGGGCTCAGGGTCTTGGCTTTGCAAGGGGACCCCGCCGGGCCACACCCTTGCCAAAAAAGCCTCCGCCAGTATAAGGAAATCACGCGCTTCAGGGTTCGAATCGGGGCTTAGGACGCTAAATCCTAAAACGTTGGAGGCTCATGGTACTTCTAGCTCTTGACATGGTTCTAATTGGGTTATAAGCAGAGTTCATACAGTTCTACTTGGGTTCATCAGTACCATGAACCTCAAAGTAGGCCCGAAGTCCCCAAAGCCGCAATGCCTAGCACCTTAACAAAATCCAGTGGAGAGCCTCGCCGCACAACCCTAAGACCTAAAAACCGCACTATAGGGGTCGGAATAAGTACTGACCTAAGGGCCCCTTTACTTTTCTTAGACTCGAATACCTTCCCAAAAACCCTATTCTAATCATTCAAGGCCCTTCTATCACACCCTCTGAAGGTCAAGGACCCCGTGTCGTTCATCACTGCAATCCTCCACCTGAAGCACAAGTCAGCCCTTGCGGGGGCTTGAGGATTTCCGGGTTTAGAGGGTTTGAGGGCTCAGGGTTCAGAGCCTGAACCCTAAACACTACACCCAAACCATAAACCCTAAACCCTAAACCCTAAACCCTAAACCCTGAACCCTGAACCCTGAACCCTGAACCCTGAACCCTGAACCCTGAACCCTGAACCCTGAACCCTGAACCCTGAACCCTGAACCCTGAACCCGTACTAGAGAGTGAGGGAATGAGGTACTGTTTAATCCCCCCCGCATTGTGCGCTTTCCGAGGGATGATAGTCCCTCATTCTCCCTACTAAGAACCAGTAAGCTGGAGGAGTTTAGGGGTGTCCTTTTGGGGGATTTTGGGGCCTAAACCCTAAACCCTAAACCCTAAACCCTAAACCCTAAACCCTAAACCCTAAACCCTAAACCCTAAACCCTAAACCCTAAACCCTAAACCCTAAGTCCTTTTGGGGGATTTAGGGGTCGAAGATGATTTGGGGCTCAGCAATGCAGGGCTTTCGGCTTCAGGGTTGACAGAGTCTGGGCTTCAGGGGTTCTCAGGTGGCGGCTGTAAGGATAACCGCAGCAAGCCCAAAGCCCCAAAGCCCAAAGCCCTAAACCCTAAACCCTAAACCCTAAACCCTAAACCCTAAACCCTAAACCCTAAACCCCTGAAGTGATAGTTACATGGTCCCTGCATGTGGTCCCTTACGTGCTTTGAAGGGCCCTTTGCTTTCATAGGATGTTTTCGGGGTCCCTAGTTGAGGGCCCGCACTAAGGGACCATGAAACTACCCTTAGAACCTTAAGCCCTAAGCCCTAAGCCCTCAACCCTCAACCCTCAACCCTCAACCCTCAACCCTCAACCCTCAACCCTCAACCCTAAACCCTAAACCCTAAACCTTTAGAATCATCAGGCTGCACTGCGCCCCTGCGAGGTACGACAGATTCGTGAAGGAGTCCTTCAAGGAAAGCAAAGACTTCCAGTTGGCATTGAAGCAGGCCTTCGAATCCTTCCTCAACAAGGACGGAGTGCCGATTAGGGTTTAGGGTTTAGGGTTTAGGGTTTAGGGTTTAGGGTTTAGGGTTTAGGGTTTAGGGTTTAGGGTTTAGGGTTTAGGGTTTAGGGTTCAGGGTTCAGGGTGCCCGTAGACCCCAAGCCACGACGGCCGAACCCCAAGCCCTGAGCCCTAAACTCTAAGCAGCCCCCATAGACCTAAACCCTAAACCCTAAACCCTAAACCTTAAACCCTAAACCCTAAACCCTAAACGAAGAATTAGGTGCAAGGAAGGCCTATGCAAGGGTGCCCACCCTGTGGTTGTGGGGCCCTGAACGGTAACATTGGCGGATTTGTTCTAAATTAGGCTCGGTCCCTGGTGCGAATTCTCTTGACAAAGCTACGTAAACAGTTTAGGGTTTCGGGTTTAGGGTTTAGGGTTTCGGGTTTAGGGTTTAGGCTTGCCCGAAGATTTAGGGTGTAGGGTGTCGGGTTTAGGTTTTAGGGTTTAGGGCTAGTACAGTTTCATTAGGGTTTGAGGGTTTAGGGTTTAGGGTTTAATTCTTCTAAGTACCCATGAACCTCCAAGTATAGAACGGCTATCCCAAGTGCCCATGCGTCAGGGCCCTCGTAGCTGCTTCCAACTACTCTCAGAGGCATCTGAGACAAAGCTGCTATGGTCACTTCTCTAAATTCTAACCCCCTTTTGGGGGTTGCTCTTATAAGACGGGCCCTAAACCCAAAACCCAAAACCCTATACCCTAAACCCCAAACCCTAAACTTTTCATTGGTTTAGGGATGCGTTGTGTGGGGGTTGGCTGTTGAGGATTTAGGGTTTAGGGCTTAGCTTCTGGGGCTATGCTTTGGATGATTCTTTGAGCGCACGGGCGCAGGACACGCGGACAGCGCAATACTTGTCCCTCTACGTCGACGACCAGTTCCCGCCTCAGGACGCGGCTCCCTGCACCCTTGTAATGTGGGGTTTGGGGTTTAGGGTTTACGGTTTGGAGTTAAGGGTTTAGGGTTTAGGTCCCACTTCCGGGAGCGGGCTCCTATTGGGAACCAGGAATTGTTGAAACCGCCTGGGATTCCAGGCATCAAGGCAGCAAGTCGAAATGCACTTGCCCGCTCTTTTCCCACAAAACCTTGGTAGCCCCGTGGTGCCCTTTACCCTGTTCTTGTTTGGCTATTATGGGTTCCCTTCTAGATTCTAGAGTGACCAACCCCCAAAAAAGGGGGCCCTTACTATAACATGGTTACTACTTGGGATGTTCCCCCTTATACTAACAGTCCTTAGTAGTGATTATAACTTGGGGTATTATCATCCCTATCAAGGAGCTGTCAGTATAAAGGGGAACATGCCAAGTTGCTACTAAGAAGCGTTTCGGCCTCTACGCCTCTGTTCATCAACGCCTCATCCCCAAGCTGCTTCTCCTGCTTTCTGCTTTCAAATTTAGCTATGAAGGTCTTGGGGTCCCCCTAAACCCTAAAACGCCCTAAGCCCTAAACCCCAAACCCCTAAACCCCAAACCCTAAAGCCTCAAACCCCAAACCCTAAACCCTTAAACCCCAAACCCTAAACCCTTAAACCCTTAAACCCTAAATCCCCAAACCCTACACCCCAAAACCCCATACCCGAAACCCCAAACCCTTAGACCCCAAACCCTTGAACCCCAAACGCTTAAGCCCTTAAACCCTTAAACTTTTAAACCCTTAAACCCTTAAGCCCTTAAACCCTTAAACCCTTAAGCCCTTAAACCCTTAAACCCTTAAGCCCTTAAACCCTGAAACCCTTAAACCCTTAAGCCCTGAAACTCTTAAGCCCTTAAACCCTGAAACCCTTAAACCCTTAAATCCTGAAACCCTTACACCCTGAAACCCTTAAACCCTGAAACCCTTAAACCCTTAAGCCCTTAAACCCTTAAGCCCTTAAACTCCTACCTGGAGCTCCACCGGCTTTCCGCCGCACCTTCCGCATTTTCCAGCTTTGGGGCCGCCGGGGCCGAGGATTGAACCTGTGGGGGAATTAGGGTTTAGGGTTTAGGGTTTAGGGTTTAGGGTTTAGGGTTTAGGGTTGAAGAATGGTGTCTCTAGAGGGAATTGCGCGCCTTGTGCCCCCTCTTGATAGTAACTTTGTAAGGGGCTTCAGAAGGTGCCGGCTTCCCTACGAAATCCCAGTAAGTCAAGGTGCCTGTCTTTGAAAGTTTGGAGCAAAGGGCTTCCGAGCTTGAGAGTTTAGGGTTTAGGGTTTCGGGTTTAGGGTTTAGGGTTTAGGGTTTAGGGTTTCGGGTTTCGGGTTTAGGCTTCAGGGTTTAGGTTTGGAGTTCAGGGCTTAAGGTGATATAGTTTGCAGGCTTTAGAGTCTGGGGTTAGGGCTTTTCGAGGTTAGGATGTAGAGTCATCTTTTGGGTTACGGCGCGGTCATACGCCCTCAACGCCCTCAACGCCCTCAACGCCCTCAACGCCCTCAACGCCCTCAACGCCCTCAACCCCTTAAACCCTAGACCCTAGACCCTAAACCCTAAACCCTAAACCCTAAACAATTACGCCCACGCGCCCGAGGTTCCGCAAGGGCCTCAAAGGCATGTCCAGCGACGCGGACGTCGATGCGGCGCTGGAGCAGGCTCTTCGGGTTTTGGGGAATTCAGGGTTTAGGGTTTAGGGTTTGGGGTTTGTTTTTTTGGGGTCTTTTCTTATTTTCCCTCAGCCGATTGACTAGGGGACCAAAAAATGGACCTGAACTTAGCCACTCACATAACCGTACAGCCCCATAGCTCCCGCAACAAAGTGTAGAAGATGCGCGGTTCTGGGGTGATGCTTTCGATGTGCGCGTCGCCTCTGCCGGCCGCATTCAGCATACTGCGCCGGAGAACATAGCAAGCATGTGCAACATAGAGGTCATAGAAGTGGGCAGAAGTGGGCCTGATTAGGGTTGTTTGCCTTAAGAATTTAAGAATCTTACTACCCAAACCCTAAACCTTGTGAGGGTGTACAGTGTGGGGTTGGGGTCTAGGGTGTAGGACCGGCGGGACCCCCCTGGTCAGTAGCCACAAAGTAACTTTACAAGTACCTTGAAAGGGACCCTAGTTGGAGGGGGGCCCCCGGATCTTCCAAAACCTTTTGGAAGATCTGGGTCCTGCGCTTCCGTCTAGCCCTACCTACTAAGTCCCCCGATCCTGGAGGCCGGGCTTACTCAGGGGCTTGTAAGTGGGATATAGGTTTTGTTGTACTTGGTTAATAAGTACCGTGAGCCTCCAAGTAAGGTTTCGGCGATTCGATGGTTGAGGCAGTGTTGAGCGTTTTGGGGGGTTGTATACCAAAAGGCTCCTAAAGCCTAAGCCCCAAAAGAATCCCTAAAGAACCCCTAAGCCCCAAAGCTTCGACACCTTAAAGCCCCCCGAAACCGTGACCCTAAAGTACACCACCCTAAACCCTGAACCCTAAGCCCTAAGCCCTAAACCCTAAACCCTGAACCCTAAACCCTAAACCCTAAACCCTAAAGCCCCTCCCAAAACCGCCTGCCCGACGCCTCAGGTCGTGACCGTCTTCCGATTCTTGCAGGATAAGGCCACGAATCGGCAGGGTTTAGGGTTTAGGGTTTAAGGTTTAGGGTTTAGGGTTTAGGGTTTAGGGTTTAGGGTTTAGGGTTTAGGTAGGGCCAGGGCTCTAGGGTTTAGGATTTTGGGTTTAGGGACAGAACGCGAAACCCTCAACCCGAGACCCTAGTAACCTAAAGGTTCTAGCCGAAGGCATGTGGGGTTCTCTCAGTCCCTGGTCCGTTCTTGAAGGGGTAGAAGTGCGGAACCCCTAGAAGGGACTATTCCCCTACATAACCCACATAGATACCTTATATAGTCCCTATGTACCTAAGTAGCCCCTAAATAACCCCTAACTTACCCCTCAGATCCCTTCTAAGGATCCCTCCTCTAGTCCCTGGTTCGTTTTGCGGTACCACTGAATGTAAGGAGCGGCGTTCTCACCAGGACCGCAAAAGGGTACCATCAATCAGGGGGGCCCGACTGTAAGTAAGGTTTAGGGTCCAAGATTGCATCTCTCCCTTCTTGGGTTAAAGAGGTTCCTAGACGGCGATAAAGGGGGAAAAAGGGAAAATCAACATCTATGCCAAAAAATGCTTGTCCAAAAATCAGGGGTCACCCGGCCCTGGCACGAAAATCCAAACATGAAGGGCCGATACTGCGTGACCCAAAAATGCATCTTCAAAAATCAGGAGCCGAAAAATGCATACCCCAAAACGCACATCCAAAACTCACCCTCCTGCCCCACCGGCCGTCACCGGCACATGCATTTTTGGACATGCCTTCTTGGGGCATGCATTCTTGGGGCATGCATTTTCCCACATGCATGTTTGGAGAGGCAGAGACGCATCTTCCTTTAATAAAAATGCATGGTTCCAGTCCTCCAAGGGCCGCGGGGCTTCTGATTGTCAGGATCCGGGCTTGCTAAACATGCATATCCAAAGGACATGCAGTCCAAAAGTGTATGTGCCAAAAACACACGTCCGAAAATGCGGATGCCAAACCGCCGGCCATGCATTTTCGGATATGCGTTTTTGGAACCCGCATTCTTGGACATGCATTTTTGGTACCTGTGTTTTTGGAAGATGCATTCTTGGATCCGGTATGAACGTGCAATTCCGAGAGATTCTTCCCAGATCTTAATCACAAAGCACCTGTCCACCAGGACCGCAAAAGGGACCATCAATCCGGGACCCTACATGTACTTGCAAGTAGGGTTTAGGTCCAAGATGGCATCTTTCCCTTTAAGACGATCTCACTTCGAAATTTTGTCGGAAAAAGACCCAAAACCCTTCACCCTAAACCCTAAACAGGCTGGGAGGGCCAGTTTCAATTCCCGCCTTACTGGTGAGTCCAGTTTTGGTGGGCTGAACGCGACACTCCTGACCCCTGAGCCCTAAACCCCTTTTGTTGTTTAGGGTGCAGGGTTCAGGGTTTAGGGTTTAGGGTTTAGGGTCTCGGACGCCCCCCTCCTTTGGCCCCAGGACGTCTTCGAGAACTTCTACAAGCAGCACCTTGCTCGGCGGCTTCTCACAGGCCCCACGTGCCTTGCACTTCCTCCTCTAAACCCTAAACCCTAAACCCTAAACCCTAAACCCTAAACCCTAAACCCTAAACCCTAAACCCTAAACCCTAAACCCTAAACCCTAAACCCTAAACCCTAAACCCTGCATATGCGGCTTTTTTTGGGTTTAGGGCTTAGGGTTTGGGGTTTAGGGATTAGGGTGTTAGGGTTTAGAACTTTACTTGGAGGTTCGTGGTACTCATCAACCCAATTACAACTGCACTTACAACCCAATTATAACCATGTTAGGGCACTCAAATGCTTTTAAGTGGGTTATAAGTACAGTTCCAACTGGGTCATAGGTGCCATGAACCTCCACGTAATGTAATGCCTTTTTGGGTAGCCTATCATAGTCCCCTATATCTAACGCCAAAAGGAACTTCATGAGAGCCTTCAGGTAAAGCCCCAAGAACACAAAACAAAAACCCACATCTAATTTATAAGAGCCCCAAAGATGTTCAACCCCAAGCCGCTAAACCCTGAACTCGTAAGGCCTTCAAGCCCTGAATCACGAAATCCTTCAAGCCTTAACCCTTCACCCCCTAAAGCGTTGAACTCGAAGTAGTTTACCCTAAGCCCTAAGCCCTAAACCCTAAACCCTAAACCCTAAACCCTGAACCCTGAACCCTAAACCCTAAACCCTAAACCCTAAACTTCATTCGATTTGTCTGGCTGAGCCGTGGCTCCCCCAGGGCAGCTTCAGCCGTGGAGCCACCTTTGCCGCAGCAACCAGCGCAAGGACATCCACTTTGCGGGGTCGGTCCGTCCCTGGCTGCCGGACAATTCTGACACAATTCCCGAGGAGCTGTGAATTGAACGGCGCGGAAGAAACAACACACGGCAGTGCTTGTCCATTCTTGGTCGCCTGGCGTGAGTGATTCACCATGCATGGATAACTAGCTTAGACGTACAGTCATTGTTTAGTCAGTAGGTGCTTAGTCAGACCCTAAACCCTGAACCCTGAGCCCTAAGCCCTAAACCCCCAAACCCCAAACCCTTAACCCTAAACTCTAAACCCTAGCGAAACCCTAAACCCTTGCGACTTTACGGCTTCGGGGTTTCATAGGTTTTGGGCGTTTTGGGCTTTAGCTCTTGGGGGTCTAGGAAACCTTAAAATCCCAAACCCTAAACCCTGAACCCGAAACTCCAGAGAGCCTGAACCCAGAGCTGGTGGAGTTAGGGTTTGGGGTTTAAGGTGTTTGTGGGGCTTTGGGTTTAGGCTTTGGCATCTTACCCTAATCCCTAAACCCTTTAGGCTTTTTCATCTTACCCTAATCCCTAAACCCTAAACCCTAAACCCTAAACCCTAAACCCTAAACCCTAAACCCTAAACCCTAAACCGCAAATTTGTGTGCTTGGTTGTGGGCCAAAAGTGCCTCCCTGAGTTGGGTCTGTTGGGGGGTTTTTGGGTTTTAGGATTCAGGGTGCAGGCCTGCCTAAAGCCTAAAGCCTAAAGCCGAAAGCCGAAAGCCGAAAGCCTAAAGCCGAAAGCCTCAAGGCCTCAAGGCCTAAAGCCTAAAAGCCTAAAGCCGAAAGCCGAAAGCCTAAAGCCTAAAGCCTAAAGCCTAAACCCTAAACTCGAGCTTAGGGCTTGCCAACCCCTAAGCCCCTAAACCCTAAACCCTGAAACCCAACCCCAGGCTCCTAAATGCCAGGCCCCTAAGCCCCTATGCATCCCGAAGTCCTGAGCCCTACACGTCACGGGGTTTACGGTTTAGGGTTGGGGTTTAGGGTTTAGGGTGCAGGGTTCAGGGTTTAGGGTTTAGGGTTAGGGTTTAGGCTTCAGGGTTTAGGCTTTAGGGTTTAGGGTTTAGGCTTTAGGGTTTAGGGAACCCTTTCGGGGGCCATTTCAGGAGCTTTCTTAGATCGCATTGAAGCGGACCTCCTCCGGCATTGCCAGGTAGAAGCGTCAGCGACGAAGCCGAAAGGAGCATGATTTCAAAGCTCAAGAGCGACTTGTCCTGTAGTGAGGGTAGATTTGGGGTTTTAGGGGTCTTAGGGGTGTTCGGGCTTTAGGGTTTCTAGGGTTTTAGGGTTTTAGTGTTTTAAGTTTTTTAGGGCTTTAGGTCTTAAGGACCCTAAACCCTAAACCCTAAACCCTAAACCCTAAACCCTAAACCCTAAACCCTAAACCCCAAACCCTAAACCCTAAACCCTAAACCCTAAACCCTAAACCCTAAACCCTAAACCTTAAACCCTAAACCCTAAACCCTAAACCCTAAAGCCTAAACCCTAAACCCTAAACCCTAACTCAGGATCACGAAGCTGAAGCTTGACTTTAGGGTTTGGGGGGGGGGGGGCAGCTATGACCTACGTGTAGCTGTAGGCATAATCTGGGACCCAGGGTCGGCCTTTATTCCCCTCTTTTTAGGGTTTGTGGTAACCCCCCTAAAGCCCAAGCACGTACTCCTGGGTCTCTTAATCCCCCTAAAGCCCAAGCACGAATCCTGAAACCATACGCCCTAAACCGCATATGGGCAGCTCTCTAAATTAGGTCCCCTTTTCTTTGTCATACTTGAGTAGAATGTTACATGTTTAAGGGTACTTAAACCCAATAAGGAATAGAAATTGTACTTAAACCCAATAAGGAATAGGAATTCAAATTTTAGCTTTTGGGTCTCTATTCAATACGGCACAATTTGGACCCCATTTGTTAAGGCTTGGGGTTTCGGGCTTAGGGTATAGGGCTATAGGGCTATAGGGTTTAGGGTTAGGGTTTAGTGCTTAGGGTTTAGGGTTATAGGGTTTAGGGTTTAGGGTTTGTTTAGGGCTTAGGGTTTAGGGACGTTTCAGGTTTAGAGCTTAGGGGCTTCAAATGCTTAACCTCATGCGGAAAACCAGCGTGCGCCTTTTTCCTTTGGTTGCAACAGGGCACATCAGTTGGATTTAGGGTGGCGTTTGATGTGCAGGGTTCCAAAGAAGGCACAGAACCCAATCGGGTTTCAGGTTCAGGATTCAGGGTTCAGGGTTGAAGGGTTCAGGCAGCCCTCTCTGTGAGGCGAGTGCGGCCATCAGTACACCTCCAAGTTGGAAGGTATGCACGGGGCCCCAGCGAGCCCGGTCCGAGTTCACTGTTCAGGGTATAGGGTATAGGGTATTGGGTATAGATATATCTGGAGCTACTATTTTGATGAGAACAACACAAGCTCAGTTACAAGATCGTGCATGGGGAACTCTTGTGGTCACAAGCCAGTGCTGCTGGCACGTGCCTCCACACCATTTCGCCTATACGGCATCGCGACAGTGGAGCAGCGATTTACGACTCACCCGATCCCGACGCCCGCATCATTGGAATGCACGTCGGGGGCAATGAGAGAAAGGACGCTGCAGGCGTTGGTGTTTTCGTCCAAGCCTCCTATATCATTGAGGCCGCCGTCGGGATTGGGACAAACCGCACCTCTGAATGCTTCCCAGCTTGACACGAAGCAACTGCTGTCCTCGCTGGAGGGTTTAGGCTCTAGGGTTTGGGGTTTGGGGTTAGGGTTTAGGGCAAACCCCAAACCTTAAACCCTGATGCCCTAAAACCTAAACCCGGAGCCGAGGTTCTTCCTGTAAAGGAAACCGGGCTTCGAGGAAACGAACCCCAAGCCCCAAGCCCCAAGCCCCAAGCCCCAAGCCCCAAGCCCCAAACCCCCAACCCTAAACCCCTAAACCCCGAAATCCTGTACCCTCAGTCCCCAATGTAGGGTTTCGGGTTTAGGGTTTAGGGTTTAGGGTTTAGGGTAACACAGCACAAAGATAAAGTTTGAACGAAGACGATCTGAAGCCATGGGCCAAGGTAGCCGCCGCTGTCGGGTAAAAGTATGAGGGTTCAGGGCTTGGGGGGTCTTTAACTTCGTAGCTGAGTGAGTACGCTTTTCACTTTTTGGGATACTATAATCCCCTATAGAACTGAAAGTGTACACTATTGGGGGGGGCTTATGGATATGGCGTTCCTTTTGCGTTAGATATAGGGGACTATGATAGGCGACCCCAAAGAAGGTATGTCATTACTTGGATGTTCATGGTAGTTGTAACTGTACTTTTAACCCCCTCAGTTATAATCGGGTTGTAACTACAGTTAGACTTGGGTTAATTTGTAAGTAGTGTCTAGGGTGCTCAAAGATGAAATCACACATGGTTGACGGCCGAAGCCCAATGCCCGAAGCTCCTGAAACCTAAACCCAACCTCTGAATCTCCAAGCCTCTCCTTGTGCACCCTTAACCCTAAACCTCTCTCTCCATCTTACACCCCCACGATGAAGCTTTCTGCACCCAAAACCTCTACACGCCCCAAACCGCCCTGCTCCCCACACGCCGCATACCAAAGGCCCAATGCAAACCTAGCACGAAATTTCAGTTGTCAAGAGCTTCCAGAAAAAACCCTAAACCCCCAAACCGCCAAACCCTCAATTCTGCCTCTCTCCCCCCTCCCCCATAAACCCTAAACCCTAAACCCTAAACCCTAAACCCTAAACCCTAAACCCTAAACCCTAAACCCTAAACCCTAAACCCTAAACCCTAAAACCTAAACCCTAAACCCTAAACCCTAAACCCTAAACCCTAAACCCTAAACCCTAAACCCTAAACCCTAAACCCTAAACCCTAAACCCTAACCCTACACCCTAAACCCTAAACCCTAAACCCTAAACCCTAAACCCTAAACCCTAAACCCTAAACCCTAAACCCTAAACCCTAAACCCTAAACCCTAAACCCTAAACCCTAAACCCTAAAAACCCTAAACCCTAAACCCTAAACCCTAAACCCTAAACCCTAAACCCTAAACCCTAAACCCTAAACCCTAAACCCTAAACCCTAAACCCTAAACCCTACTCATTCCCTACCAAGAACCAGCCAGTACTCTGAGGTTCCAGGACATGAAGCTCTCCGAGGAGATCATGAAGCAGTGCGACGCTTAGGGGCGGCTTCAAGGGGCGGGGGGTTTACTTCTTAGGGTACTGAGGGGTTTAGGGTTTAGGGTTTAGGGTTTAGGGTTTAGGGTGCAGTTCTTAGGTATTTGGGGCTTCGGAGGGTTTGGGGTTTAGGGTGCAGTTCTTAGGTACTTAGGGCTTCGGGGGGTTTAGGGTTTAGGGTTTCAGGGTTTAGGGTTTAAAGTGTATGGTTTAAGTTCTTATGGATCAAGGGTTCTAGGTACGCAGGGTTTAGGGTGTTTGGGGTGTAGGGTTCAGGGGAACAAAGCACAAAGATAAAGTTTGAACGAAGACAATCCCCAAACCCCAAACCCCAACCCTAAGCCCTGACCCCTAAAGCCTAGAACCGAATTTAGGGATCCTAGTGCATGGCTTTGGGATGAACACCGAAGCCCTGAACCCCACTAAAGCCTTGCCCTGAACCCTGAAATTTAGGGTTCAGGTGTTAAGGTTTAGGGTTTAGGGTATCAGGCTTTCGGGTGTAGGGTTTAGGGTTTAGGGTCCTTAAGCCCCAAAACCCGTAGATTCCACCGGTGAGGCCCTAAACCTACGGTTGGAACCATGGGCCCTTAGTATGGTCCCTTACCCTGTTTCAAGGGGATTTGGAGGGATCCGAAGTATGGGCCCTTACTGTGTATAGTGTGTAGAAGGGTTATGCAACAGGGCACCCATATGAAGGGCCCATACTTCGGATGCCCTTCTTGGAGGTTCAGGGTACTTATGACCCAGTTCTAGCTGTATTTCTAGCCCACTGATAAGGCCCTTAAGATATAAGTGCAGCGACAGTAGGGTTCATAAGTACCATGAACCTCCAAGTACTAGAACCCTTTAACCCTTAAACCCGTAAATCCTGTAAGCTGCCCTTTCTCCGAGGTTCGTGAGGTTTTGACCCCGTAAGCC